AATAGGTGAGTGATATTGGACCCCACCAAACTCCAGCCCAGTGGGGAAAGGGGGAGGAGGGGAAGAGGGAGGGGAACAGGGCCACAACAGTCCTGGATTTGCAGAGTGAAACCTGATGGTCCCAAGGTCTCAGCAGAGCTTCTGGCCTGGGGCCACTGTGGTCCCCCCTCCTACCCCAGGTTTAACCCTTATTCACCCCCACACTGTAAGTGTCCAGGGAATCCAGACAGCAGGTCCTGGTAGTCTCTCACGCCCCACCCCCCACCTCACAGCTGCAGCCAAGCCAGAATGGGAAAAGGATCCCTCCCCCCCAGACACCTGCGTCCCCCACGGCCACATCCAAGGTCCCCAGGAGAGCTGGAGTCGGGGTGGGGCAGTCCATCTGAGCCTGGGCTCGTCTAAGATTGGAGGGAACCAGCCCTGGACTCCAAAAGAAGCCTGTCCTCTCCTCTCCCTAGGGAAACGGGAGGGTCGGGACCCTCGCACCCTCAGCCCGGCCCAGCCCTCCCCGCCTGCCCTAACCAAGAGTCAGGGGCCCCTGGAGGGCTGCAGCAAGGACAGAAATAGCCACGACTTTCCGGGGAGGAAGCCTTCTTCCTTGTTGATCTTAGAGTACTTGGAGCCTGCAGGCCCCCACAAGAGGGGACCACCCCTAGGGGGTGAGGCGGAAGCCAGAGGGTCTGCAGGAGGTGGTTGGAGGCTCAGAGGCAGGGGAGCAAGTCCCTGGGGATCCGGGAGTGGGTGGGGCCCGGAAGAGGGGGGTTGTCCGGAGGAGGGAGGGAACCAGAATCCCACGGGGCATCAAGGGGACGGTAAAGGGGCCTCTCCCTCTGAAGTCACCGCTAATCAATAGATGACCACAAGGCCATGCCAAGGGCAGGAGAACTTGACCCAGGGCCAGCCCAGGGTGGCAGAAGCTCAGAGTCTGCAAGCCCTAAGTGGGTGAGAGGAGGAGGGAGAGCGCCCACCATATCCACGTTCCCCCAGCTCTGGCCTCCTGACAAGCAGCCTTCCACAGCCGGATGAATACAAGAGCAAGAAGAATCCCAGAAGCTAATTTTAACGTAGCATGCCCCTCCTCCCCTGTCAGCAATGAGCAGGACTTGGGAGCACACCCCTCACCTACCTTCCCCTGCCCTGCCCTGGCGCCCTCTCGCCAAGGACAGCAGTGGGCAGAGAGGGTGTCCCCAGAGTGTAGGGGGTCCCTGCCAGGTAGACCCCAAGAACTCACACACCACCACCACCACCACCAGGGTGTGGGGTGTGGCTGGGCTGGAGCCTGCTCCACAAGGTGATGCGGGTGACCCCATGCCAGTCTACCTTTGGCCTTGGGTTCCTTGCCTGTACCCCCCCAGGGGAAGACAGCCACAGCAGTCATGTTCCTATGAGCTCAAAGCTGTGGTCATTCTCACCACTGCTGAACTCAGAAGCTCCAGCCAGACTCAGGGCCTGAGCCTGCAGCGAGGTATACCAGTTGCCAACCCAGACACCCGGCTCTGTGAGTGGGATATATCTAAGACTGAGTCCTGTTGAACAGGAGCACTCTGCCCAGCCAGCAGGTAGTAGCTGGGGCAGGGTCTTCCTGTCATGCCTCCCTCCAGCACACATGCACATGCATATGCACACACATACACATATACACACCAGAGATAACCTAGAATATGGGGTTGGAGAGACGGGCCAAGGACCAGATTAGTCCTTGAGTCTCTCCACCTTGAGTCTTGGTCAGACATCAGCAGCACCTTCTTAGCAGGTGGTTGGGAGTGTCTCCCATCAGAGTAGGAAACAGAAGAATGCTTGCAGACCACGCCTGCCCCCCACTTCTCAGCAGCCATGCCATCTCAAGCGTGTCCCCCACAATTTAAAGGCACAGATTTGCATGGAGCAAGTGCAGCTAGAGATCTTCCTCAGTCTCCCCTCTCCACTTCTTCTGTGTTAGGTCAGGGTTGGGGCAGCTGGCCAAGGCAGCTCCACCTGAGGAACCACAGGTTCCCACACTCGCCTCCCATTCCCTCTACTACTATCCCACTTCAAGGCCTTGTTGAGATTACTCCTGGGAGGAGGTGACTGTACTCACCTAGCCCTCCATTCCTGCAGCTCTGAGCCTCCCTCATCAACCCAGCAACCCTCAGATGGGCCCAGGGTGCAGTCAAGAACAGGTCATACTGACATTGAGCTGTAGGGATGTGGGGATGGGAGAGGAAGGTAGTGACAGCTCAGGAGCCAGGGCGCCTGGAGCCAGCTGCACTCCCTCATTTGAAAAGGCGGTGGGGAAACAAAATGCAGCACGTCCCATCCAGGATCAGGCACACGAGGACTGTGGACACACACTTCCCACACGTGGACCTGTTAATCCCAGAGCCTAGATGCAATGTGATTACTTAGTATGCACGTGTGACATGCAGGGGCTACCTGGCTTCCAGATCCAGCTGTGCCGCCAGATGTGCACCCAAGACCATATGAAGCATGTCCTCTGTCTTCCGGGCCTGTCTCTTCCTTAGCATAATTCAGGGATCAGGCTGAGCTGTCAGGAATGGAAACCCTGGGATATACACCATCACTTATTCTGCAGCAGTACTAGCCACGATCAATCAATCACAGCCCAGCTGTGTACAAGATCCAACCAGAACCTCCCAACAACCAGCACCACTGAACAAGAGGCTGATCCCAAGGATGGATGCACCATGCACCTGCATCTCACAACTCTGCACTCCTGGGATCCAGCTGGGTGACTTGAGTGTTGCTTTCCTCTTCTGTAAACAATGGTCTGTGTCCTCCCACACCCCCACTCCAACAAGGCTCTGATGAGATCCTGCAGACAAAACGGGCTTGCAAATAGCCCCACTCCAGGTACCATTTCCAGAGACAAGGCAGAGAGCTCCACACCCACAGGCCTGACCCTGTAGACAATGTGGGCCCGTGGGAAGAGCCTGGGTCTGGCTGTCCTCAGACGGGTCATTACATCTTTCCAAGCCTGAATTCCTGGCCTTTTGAGATTCTCCTATTCTCCCTCTAAGACCCAATGCCAAGGCACCTCTTCTGGGAAGCCCTCCTCTCCCTCCCTCCCCAGGCAGTCTGGTTCAGGCTTGCCCTGGCCACTCGTGGCCCTGCTAACTTGTTGCTGCACGAGGATGCTGAGTGGACACAGGCAGGTGGGCATGTCAGGGCAGGGCACAGAAGTGTAGCCAACACAGCAGGTGCCAGCCAGGTTGCTGGGAAGAGCTGCTCCTGGCAGCCCTGGGTACCAAGGACACAGCTCACTTACTACAAAATATCCTTTATTGATAAAATAGTTCAGACTTTGTAAAGACACCTGCTCATCATGGTGGGGCCATGAGCAACAACATGGAGGTGTTGGCGGGGGGGTCCCGGTGCAGTGTGCACACAAGGTCAGGCTGGAGATGGTTGCAAATGAGTCCCTCTCCTCCACCTGGCCACGCCCCCCAAACCATGCCCTGGATGAAGCCAGTAGCCCTCTCCACTCTTTTCCTCTTCTTCACTCTCTCCATCCCAGAATATTCCCTCAGGCCCTCCAGATCCAGCAGGTGCCGTGGGGTATCAACAGTGCCTAGCCTACCACATCCCAAGACGCTGGCTGGGCCCAAAATAACACCAAGCCGTCCCGGGGATGACTGGGACCCATCTTTTAGACACTCTCTATCGTGCTGGGTGCCAGATTCTGGTGTGGGTGAGAGAACGAGATGGGAACAACCCCTGAGCAGGCACTCAGCAAAACATCCACTTGTGTTTGTGTATGCCTACAGGGGGGCGGGGGGGTGGTCCTGGCTCGCTTATGGTGTGGCACCCTACCTGGACAATTCACAGGGTCGCTGCTCACCCACTCCAGCCCCAGCTCCCTAGGCCCTCATTTCAGAGTGTTCCCAGGGGATGGGTATTTTTAGCTATTTGGGGGGAACAGTTTGCTTGCTTCATGACAAAAGGCTTGTCCCCCCACCCTTCAAGGGACAGGGTGGGGCAGCAAACACTGAAACCCTCTGGGCTGTGTGGCAGGTGCAGCGCCTGGAACTTGAACCCCGGCAGGCACGAGAACACCACCTCCAAGAACTCCTTTTCCTTGAAATAGTGCTTCTGTCTGCTCCTCCCCACTTCGATTTGGAGCAGGCATTCACACACCCCAGGCACAGCCAGTCTGGAGGAAGCAGGGGTGGTAAATACCGGTATCACCAGATAATCGCATTTTCTGGTTCTCGCGTGCCTTACCCCTGGTGAGCTCAAAGCCTGCTGCAAGCCTTTCATCTCCCCACAGCAAGTAGGCGGCAAGCGAGTGTCCCCACGGCTTTGGCAGGGGGTGAATGCTTGGTAATCAGGATTTCTCCTGGAGACACAAGCCAGGCCCCCAGACCGCCCTGTGCAGGCATCCGCATGACTGGCTGCCTCTCAGAAGGGCCGTAGGTGTGGGAACTGATGCGTGCTGTGCCCTGCACTGGAGCCAAAAGCAGAGAGGCTGTGCCCAGAAACCAGGCTATCACCTAACCCCCAGGCCCTCCCAGTTGCCTGGTGGTAACTCCAGGGATGACGGCGTGGGCCAGCAGTCTTCATTTGCCTTCCTGGCTAGTATCCTGCTCTTTGGAATGGGGCTGGGTGGAGGGCAAGGGGGACAGAGGAGGAACACAGCAAGCAAAAAATCGGCCAAGAACTGTCAGGTCCTCACAAAAGGGAGGTCATACCACCGGTCTTGGGGGACTCTGGATGCAGGCGCTCTGGCCTCAGCTGCCTTCCGGAAGATCCAAGCCCTTCCCTCACCTGTACAAAGGGAGGAAAGCAGGTCCCTCCACACCAAGACAACAAGGCATGGGGGGAGGGCAGCTTTAAAGGAACCCCTGTAAAGGGCACTGTGCCTCTCCAAGCTTGAGATGAGACCTGCAACACCTTTCCAGCAGGACCTAGAAAGTTCCATGGGAGGCAGGCACAACCCAAGCAGACCAAGAAGCAGCAGGGTGGCGCTCGGAGCCCATCCCAGGGCAGTCTGCAGGCGGGGCTCACCAGGCTGTCTGGGTCCACTGGCGGCAAAGGATCCTGCGAAAAGCGCGCCGGAAGTCCTGGTTGAAGACAGTGTAGATGACAGGGTTCAGGGAGCTGTTGCAATAGCCGATCCAGAAGAAGAACTGGAAGAGGCCATGGGGCACCCGGCAGTGCTGTGGGCAGATGGCGCCCAGGCTATAGCTGAAGAAGAAAGGGAACCAGCAGAGCACAAAGACCCCGATGACCACTGCCAGAACGAAGGTGAACCGCTTCTCCCTGGTCAGCTGTGTCCGCCGCCGCCACCACTGCCCGCCCATGGCACTGACAGCCCTGCCCACGAGCACCTGGCCCCGCAGGGTGGCCAGCACCCGCGAGCCCTGTGGCTGTTGCAGGGGTGGGCTACAAGCTGAGGCAGCAGGCACTGGCTCTGTCCCTGGCTCATATTCCTCTTCCTCTTCCTCCTCTTCCTCTTCCTCGGCTTCTTCCTCCAGAGACACCCCAGAAACTCCCTCCTTCTGGCCTCGGCCTGAGTTGGGAAGGGTAGCCCAGCTGGGTGGCAAGGCCTGAGTCCCAGGGTTTTCAAGGGTCTCCCCCTCCTTCTCCCTCTCCTCCTCTTTTTCAGACAACGTGGAGCATCCTTTGGTCTCACTGGCAGAAGCCACAGGAGTGGCCGGAGCTGGCAGTTTGGCTGGGGTGGAGGGCCCACTGCCAGGGACAGAGCAGACCTTCTTGGACTCACCCTCCCCGGGGCTCCCCTTGGCTCGAGGACCTCTGCGGTGGCTGCGTTTGGCGATCACGTAGATGCGCAGGTAAACGAGAATCATGATGAGGCAGGGAGCAAAGAAAGAACCAATGCTGGAGGACAAGATGTACCAGGCCTCCTGGTTGAGCTTGCACTGGGGGCGCCCGTGGGGCTGGGGGCCCTGGTCTCCCTTGTAGATGAGAGGCGGCAGCGAGATGGCAGCCGCGATGAGCCACACCGTGAGTATGATGCACTTGATCCGGCGCGGCGTGCGCTTGCAGTTGTACTCCAGTGCCCGGCTCACGGCCCAGTAGCGGTCCAGGCTGATGGCACACAGGTGCACGATGGAGGACGTGCAGAAGAGCACGTCGAGCGCCAGGTATACCTCGCACCATGTTCGCCGAAAGTACCAGTAGCCCAGTAGCTCGTTGGCCAGTGAGAAGGGGATGATGAGTGTGGCCACCAAGATGTCGGCAGCGGCCAGCGACACCAGGAACAGGTTTTGCGGGGCACGCAGAGAGCGGCTGGTCAACACGGCCAGGATAACCAGAGCGTTGCCGAAGATGGTGAAGAGGATGAGGAAAGAGATGACCGCCGCGATGGCTGCCGTGGCCTGCACCGAGTAGGGCTCCTGGTGGTCCATGGCGCACAGAAGTGGACGCGACCAGAGGGCTCGCAGATCCCCGGGACTTAGACCAGACGGTCGGTGCCCCGGCGGTGCCGGAGATGCATGATCTGATCGAACCGGGCCTGGGAGGTGGCAGTGCGGGGGACACCCGGAGCCAGCCCCCGCCCAGCTACATCACCCTCTTCCACAGGCGCCCCTGACGTCTGCCCCCGGAGGAAGTTTTCTAAATTGCCCGCTGCCAGCCCCTTTCCTCCAGGGACCCGAGTAAGGAGTCAAAGTGGCGTCCAGCCACGCGGTAGCCGGCGGACACTCGGTGGACCGCACGGAGCTCGGGGTGGGGGAAGGGGGTGCAGACCCGCGGGGTCCGCGGAGGAGGCGTGAGGCCCGGGTGCGCTGGCTCCCACGCTGGCTGTCGCCCGCAGCCGCGCCTGCAGGCAACCCCCGGCGGCAGGCGAGTGGGGAGCGGAGCGAGCGCGGCTGGAGGAGGGAGGAGACCAGGGTCGGGGGCGGGAGGAGGGAAGGGAGGCGGGGCGCGCGGTCCGACCGACCGAGGGTGGGTGTAGGGTGCACGGCCGACCGGCGCTGGGGCCAACGCCCTGGCGCCCTTAACCCCCTTTCCTTCCGGCTGCAGCTCTGAGAAAGGCCAGGGGTCTGCTGTGCGTGTTGGGGGTGGGGGTGCGGAGGAGAACAGGGGACGTTCAGAGGAGTCCCGTCTTGGGGCGGGGGGGGGTCCCTGGGGCTCAGCGAGGACGTGTACTCGAGTGCAAGGATCGATCGGCGCGTGCGGGGCTGAAGCAAGCAGAGGGCACCGAGGCGGGACCGCACGGCGCGGGGCTGCGGCATCCGAATCCAGGTCCAGGACACTGAGCGAGGGCCATCAACCTGACCCCCGCCGCCGCCCAGCTGCCGGGAGGAGAAGGTGAGGAGTTGTAGCAGAGTAAGGCACAGTCCTGGCCGGCCCCACGACGGTGAAGGAACCGGGCGCAGGGGTCGGGGCTCAGGTCCAGCACGGTGAAGAAACCAGGTGCAGGGGCTCTGGGCGCCCGCCCCATCCTTCCTCCACCGTCGGGCTTGCAGGGCGCGTGGGGCGGCGCGTGGCCGGGGTGTGAGCGCCACCTGCTGCCTTCTTGCCGGCTGAAGTCGCTGGGGAGCCAGCGCTCCCAGTCTGCCTTTGGAGACCTCGGCTTTCCTATTCCCCACACCCCTGCAGCTGCCTCAGTTTCAACCAAGAAAGGCAAAGGAGGTAAACGGGAACCTGATCTGGCCTCAGTCCAAAGCAGCGACCGAGACCCAGGCTACCGACCGACCGGATGCAGGTGAGAGGGCTCCAGTCTCTTGACCTAGGGATAAAAAACGCGGTCCCAGCATCACCCCCCTGTACAGAGCACGCAGACCTAGTGAGGGATGGGGTTCTTGGGGACTTGTTCCTACAGCTTAGAGAAGTAACAGGTCTTGGGGTACAGCTACAGAGGGGAGGGGCTTCCCTTTGCGTCCGCCGAGACCCCTGGGCCAGGTATCTCTTCCATCCCCACTATATACTCTCTTAGGTGGTGGCAAGTTGGGATACGAAGACATTTCTGGGAACTTGCCCCCTTCCCCTTCCACAGAGCTTCTGGGCGGGCATTCGGCGCACAGTTGCGAGGAAGCAGCTTGGGACCCCTGCGTCAGGCCCCGGAATGCCTAGGATCAAGTCCCACTTGCACTCCCCAGCCCCCATCCTGTTAATGCATCCTATGGGTCAAGTACGTGGCTTCCTGCCACCCCATGGGAGATGCGGATTGAGTTTTCCGGCTCCTGGCTCTGACCTAGTCCAGCCCTGCTGTTGGAAGCATTTGGGAAAATGAGCCAGTGGATGGGGGTGTCATTTATATTTCCCCTCTCTCTGCCCCACCACCACTGCCAGGCTGAGCAGCCTCCAGAACGCCTAATGCTTTAACCTGGCCTAGAGCCAGATCTTGTGTCTCCAACCTCTTAGCTGTGCCAGGCAGCTGTCTGTGAATTAGGGTCAGCCCAGCTCAGCCCACAGTTGGTGTGTGGGCAGGCAGGGTGGGAAGGGGGGCACCTCTGGACCATGACTCCTGTTTGCACAGGAGGGAGCAGAGCTTGTGACTGCTCCATGTCCCTGATGTCTCCCCTCTGCCACCACCACCCCACCCCGCCCCCAGAGTCAGACAGGCTGTTCTCCAGGTCCCCAGCCATCCCTAGCCTCAGGGGTACAGAGGGGGAGGTCCTCCTTGGTGCCAGGCTGTTCTCCTTGGTCCTGCCAGAGGACCCAGGTCCCCAGTGAGTTGCAGGTGCCGCAGCCAGGGAGAGAACAGAGCCCTCCAGAGACAGGAGTCACAGGTTGGGTGCTTATTATTTGTGGGCTGGGCCCAGCTCCCAGGTCAGAGTGGCCATTGGAGCCCGGGAAGCAGTCTTCACTTCCTGCCCCAGGGCCTGCAGAGGGGACACCATGGTGGCCCAAGTGGGCGTTGGAAGGGACAGCAACCACACCCTCCCCAGCCAGTATGTGCAGCCTCTGACTTCTGACCCGTTTTCCTGAGAGGCCATGTTTCTGGGCCTATGCATCCTCCTTGCCCTGAGAGAGCCTACCACGGGATGCTCCCTGGGGACATTCGCAAGGCAGGGGGTGGGGAGGAGGAGGGACAGCTTCAGACCTGCCGTGGACCACAGCCTGCTGGCACCAACCCTGTTGAGCACACCAGGCACAGAGTCTTTAGGGCAGGTGGGAGGTGTGCCTGTGCCTGGGGGTGGCTCAGCATGTGCCCCGAGCCTGCAACCTCTGGTCCGCCCCAGAGGACGGTGACCTTTTCCCTCTCTGTTGTGGGCCTTCCAGGTGTGCCCACCTGTCCCCAGCCTGGCAGATTCGCTGCTGTCCACTTTCACACTCAGCACATTGCACTATAGTAGGGACCAGTGAGTTTCCAAAGTCACCCTCCTCTGTTGTAGAGGACATCCTTTCTTGCCCTGGTTCTTGGTCCAGGGTCATCGGATGGCGAAGGGCAGTGGTAGCAGGTGTCACTGTGTGCAGGTGCTCCACAAGAATGTCCTTAGGAAGGAAAGCAGTGACCTGGATGTGGGTGGTGGCCAGCTTTTAAGCCCACAGCTTTTGAACAATGTGGCTTGCTAGCTGAAAGCCCTGGAGTCACTCACTTCCTTGCCAAGCCTGAGAGGTAAGTGGTAGTCCCTACCTCCCCAAGGACTCATGGGAAATCCTTCCTCCACCTTGCTGCACTCCCAGCTTTCCAAGAGGTCCCGGGGCCTCTGACTCTCAGACCCCTCCAGCCCTGGTGCCTGCTGCAACATAAACCCATCATCTCCTCCTTTCACTGCGTGGCTTGCAGTGCAAAACCCCAGGCAGCCCCAAGGCAAACCCTAACCACGCCTTTGATGGAGGAGCTGCTTCTTCCGGAGCAAAGCCCACTGTATCGACTGACCCTGCTGTACAACTGTGACCGCGTGTCTCCGCACTGTCCTAGTAAGCTCCCTTTCCCACTCTCACAGTCTGCAACCTCCCCTCAACCACACAACACCCCTCCCTGATGCTGTGACTTTGCAACTCTCCACTCCACCCTCTCACCCTGCTGTCTCTCTCCTCACCCATCCCTCAGCCCACTCCTTCTTGCACAATGCCTGTCTCCCACACTCCAGGGCCAGCCACTCCTTAAAAAGCCCTGTGTCCCCTGTGACTGTCCCCATTCTGCTGCCCCTCCAGCCACCTGCTGAGTGATCTGCCGCTAGGTACACTGTCCTTGGCCTTTGGCAGCATGGCCATGGCCACAACAGCCTGCTAGCTATTCCTGTGATCACGAGCAACTCTATGCCACTCAGTACCTGTTTTAGGTCTGTATTCTCTGTTTCTCTGCCTGCACCTGCCCCTCACTCCCAGACCCAGCCATATGAGTGCTCATGGTCACCTTAACCTTAATACCCCTAATTCTCATGGCACTTCTGTCACCAGCCACACATAGTCCCTAATGTGTCTGCCTCATCCTGCCCCTCTCCCCTACAGAGTCTGAGAGCACCCACATCTGTCCAGCTCCACTGTCTCCATCACCCCAGTTTCTAAAGCGCAGGGACTTCCCGACTATTCTGCTTCTAATCCATTGGTCATGGAGCATCCAAAGAGCCTCTCTGATCCTTAGGTCTGGGCCCCCCATGTACATGTGACCATGTACAGCCACTAAAGCCACCGCCTGTAATGCCAACATCTCTAAGGAGCACTGAGCCAAGTCCCAGCTGCTCCAGTTGCAATCCAGCTCCCTGCTAGTGTGCCTGGGAAAGCAACAGAAGATGACCTAAGTGCTGGGTCCCTTAAGATTTATTTATTTGATATTCTTGGTACTAAAATAAATCTTCTTTCAAAAGTTAAAAAAAAAAGATTTATTTATCTGAAAGAATTATGGAGAGAGGGAGCTTCCACCTGCTGGTTCACTCTCCAGATGGCTGCAATGGCCAGCATGGGCCAGACAAAACCCAAGATCCTGGAACTGTACTCTTGGTCTCCCACATAGATGGCAGTGGCCCAAGCGTATTAGTAGGGATCTGGATGGGATGTGGAGCAGCCATGACTCGAACCGACACCCACATTAGATGTTGGCATTGCAGGTGGCAGCTTTGCTCTTTACACTGTGCCATAAATAAATCCCTGGCATTGTGGTGCAGTGGGTTAAGCAGTTCTCTGCAGTGCCAGCATCACATATGAGTGCCAGTTCAAGTCCAAACTGCTCTACTCCCAATCTAGCTCCCTGCTAATGCACCTGGAAAAAGCAGCAGATGGCTTCAGTGCTTGGGCCCCTGCATTTGCCTAGGAGACCCAGAAGAAGCTCCTGGCTTTGTCCTGGTCCTACCCACCTATTGCAACCATTTGGGGAATGAAGCAGTGGATGGAAGTTACGTCTCTCTGTCTTCCTCACTTTCCCTCTGTCTCACTCTATAACTCATGATTTTCAAATAAATGAAACATTCTTTAAAATATATATATATAGGTAAAGAAAACCCTAGCCATCTCCTGA